CCCCGTTCTCTCCCAGATTAGAGTCCGCGCACTTAACCACTACACCAAACTGAAAAGTCCCAGCCTTTCCTCATAGGGAAGGTGCTACAACTCCCTTAACCGCTCCGGATGCCCTCTTCTGTACTTTTTCCAGTGCTTCGGTGCCCTTTCTGAGATATGGAAGGGTCCGGTCTAATGAGTCACCCGGGACAACCACCATGGAGTTCCGCCACCCTGGACCTCACTTCGTTCCCAAGAGAGATGGGCTCCCGCACTTACCAATCTTGTTCAACACCAGGACCAGTCTTTTGTGAGCTCCCACCAGCAGGTGCAAGTGGAGGAGTGGGGAATCAAACCCGGTTCTCTCCCAGATTAGAGTCCGCGCACTTAACCACAACACCAAACTGAAAAGTCCCAGCCTTTCCTCATAGGCAAGGTGCTACAACTCCCTTAACTGCTCCGGATGCCCTCTTCTGTACTTTTCCCAGCGCTTCGGTGCCCTTTCTGAGATACGGAAGGGTCCGGTCTAATGAGTCACCTGGGACAACCACCACGGAGTTCCGCCACCCTGGACCTCCCTTCCTTCCCAAGAGAGATGGGCTCCCGCACTTACCAATCTTGTTCAACACCAGGACCAGTCTTTTGTGAGCTCCGGCCTCCACCACAGCCTGCTCCACCTGGGGGCAACGGCAGCCTTGGGGGTCCCGGGCATCAAGGACTTCCAAGATCACGTCAGCCGCTTCGATCACCTAAAGAGAGAGAAAAAGACCTTCCACCACCTGACGTCTCTCCCAGACGGTCCATCCCGGGCCAACCGGGATAGCACCATGCTTTGCACACATGCTTCCAACCAAGCTTGGCAAGAGGCCACTGACCTTCCTGAACTCCCTGTAATAAGCCTTGCAAGAACTGTCTTTCTCCAGCAGTGCGTGTTTCGCCAGTTGCTTCAGATCCCTCTCCTGAGGGAGAAAGAAAGACAGGGTGATACACGACCAGAGGCCCAGGTCACTCCCAATGAGAAAATTGACCACAGACAAAGAGAAAAAGAAGGAGAGGTTGGATTTATTTCGATCACCTAAAGAGAGAGAAAAAGACCTTCCACCACCTGACGTCTCTCCCAGACGGTCCATCCCGGGCCAACCGGGATAGCACCATGCTTTGCACACATGCTTCCAACCAAGCTTGGCAAGAGGCCACTGACCTTCCTGAACTCCCTGTAATAAGCCTTGCAAGAACTGTCTTTCTCCAGCAGCGCGTGTTTCGCCAGTTGCTTCAGATCCTTCTCCTGAGGGAGAAAGAAAGACAGGTTGATACACGACAGGAGGCCCAGGTCACTCCCGATGAGAAAATTGACCACAGACAAAGAGAAAAAGAAGAAGAGGTTGGATTTATACCCCGCCCTTCACTCGAATGATCATGTGGTGGTGGTGGCAGCCTACCCTAGAAAGAAAGAAAAGCCCCTCCAGGGAGTTGGGAACCCCTAGGAGGGCAGGGTGGAACAAGGCCTGCAGGCCAGAGCAGGCACGTTCTGCCACAGACGTTAAGCAGGGTCAGCCCTGGATTGGAGACCACCGAGGTAGCCCAGTATTTCTACACAGAGGTAGGCAATGCAAACCACCTCTCTATGTGTCTGTTGCTTTGAAAGTCCTCTGCGGCTGTCATAAGTCAGCTGTGACTTGATGGTACTTTCCATCACCTTCCTTCTACAAGCTCAGGATAGCATACAAGGTTCTCCACTCTTCTGTTTTATCTGACCACAACCCCATGAGGATGGGGGATGGGGAGAGAATGATTTGCGAAGGTCACCCAGCAAGCTTCCATGGCACAGCGGGGATTTGAACCTGGGTCTCCCACTCCCTAGACTAATACTTTAACCGTTACACCACTCTTGGCTCTCAAACTTGGGAACCCGCACTGAAGAAGATCTCGGCCAGAGCTTCCTTACCTTCTGTTCAAAGTCCCGCTGCCTCCGCATGGCATCGCGCTGCAGTCCTTCCAGATTCCGGAACCGGATCATTTCCTTCTGCCGTGCCGTCCGCTGCCGTTCCTGCAGCTCTGTAACCTGATGGAGGTACAAAGCCTTGACATCCAGTGGGGGGGGGCTGCCCCCCCCCCCCCAGAAAGACCTTTTCTCACTCAGGGGCACCCAAACACCCCTTACACAGAGTTGGGAAATTGAGGAGCCCCACAACAGACACCCTGTGAGGGAGGTGGGGCTGAGAGAGCTCTAAGAGGACTGCTCTTGAGAGAACAGCTCTGAGAGAACTTGTGACTGACCCAAGGTCACCCAGCTGGCTGCATGTGGAGGAGTGGGGAATCAAACCTGGTTCTCCCAGATTAGAGTCCGCCACTCTAAATTAACCTAGGAGTTCCAGGAGACAGTCTTTGTGGACTTTGCCACCTCTGAGGCTCACCCGTTTCTGCTTTTGCACGGCTTCCTTCTTAACGTGCTCTTTGAAATGTGACAGCTGAGGCACTCCTTGGTCCTTTTTCCCTTGAGGCTTTGCACCCCTTTTCTGTAGAAGCCAAAAGAGGCACATCGGTGAAGGCTACAGTTACCAGCCTCCTGGTGAGGCCTAGAATTCTCCCAGATTTACAACTCGGCACCAGACTACAGAGACCGGTTCCCCTGGAGGAAATGGCAGCTTCAGAGTGCAAACTCTATGGTATACCACAAATTCTAGGTGAAATCCCGCCCTAGATTTTCCTCTCTGCTGGCACTAACCCCGAATCGCCAGGTGTTTCCCAGGTCTGAGATAGGAACCACAAGAAAGGCACTGAATTGTACTTGGTGTCCGACACTAGAGTTCCAGAAATCCAGCTCATTCTCACAGACAGCAACAACTGAAAAAACCCCACCTCTGTTCTCCCATCAGATTCGAGACTGGTAGCGCCTTCAAGCGCAACAAGATTTTCGAGGGATGTGCTTTTGAGAGTCAGCGCTCCCTTCATCCGACCAGAGCTTTGACTCGCAAAAGCCCATACCCTTAGCTACTTTTATCCTATGGATTTGAACAAGCCAAAGGGCTAATTAAACAAAGAGTTGAGGATACTGAACGCCAGTCTGATATCACTAAGGTTTCAAAACTCAGGGAGTTGCTAAATATCAAATGCACCATTGAGCTGGCTACATATTTGACTTCAGTGGAGGGAAAAGAGTCTTAAAATTATCAGTTGAGGATACTGAACGCCAGTCTGATATCACTAAGGTTTCAAAACTCAGGGAGTTGCTAAATATCAAATGCACCATTGAGCTGGCTACATATTTGACTTCAGTGGAGGGAAAAGAACTAAGAAGGGCATTTGCCCTAGCCAGATGTTCTGCCCTTCCATTTGCGGTTATTCAAGGTAGGTACAATAAAAACCCCTACCCTGATGGCGATCACACGGCGATGCTGCAGCGTGGCAAAGAAGCGGTGCGGCACGATCACACAAGCGTTTTGCATTTGTTCGTATGCACAGTTCTGTGGAGCAGCACTGCTTTCAGTTTCGTGTTTGTGCGCATGCGCTTACAAAAAACATCCGGTTTGCGACAGGATGTGGACGGGCGCCGGATGCCACGGGATACTAGCGCTCCCGTGATCAGATGCCCACCCATGCTGCGCGTTTTCCGGATACTAGTGCAGTTTCCTTGGTACTTTTTAACTGCGCATCTTCGGTGGGACACCACGGGTGCGCTACGCTTCCCAGATGTTGCGGTGTGATCGCGCCCCAAAAATCCACCTGACATTCGTACCTTTACCACGGCAAATCCTCTGTGTGACCGGGGCCCTAGCCAGATGTTCTGCCCTTCCATCTGCAGTTATTCGAGGCCGGTACAATAAAAACCCCTACTCTGAAAGGGTATGTTCATGCCTTTCATGCAAGGTTGAATCGGTAGAGCATATGTTTTTCAGTTGCCCGTTCTACAGAGAGGCTCGTCTTAAAATTATCACCCCATCTGTTGATAGGATACCTAGTCACATTAATACAAACAAACAAAGCAAGGCTTCATTAGCTGTTGTAGATTTTCCGGGTTGTATGGCCATGGTCTTGGCATTGTAGGACCTGATGTTTCGCCAGCAGCTGTGACTGGCATCCTCAGAGGTATAACACAGAAAGACACTCTGTGTCAAGGTGAGAAGAAAAATGGCAGGCAGGTAATTTATATCTACTCAGGAAGGTGGGGTAGGGCTGAGTCATTATCTTGTAGGCGTTCCCCAGGCTGTGAAAACAGGCTAATGGAGGAGCTTTCCTGAGGAGGTTCTTTTGTAGCAAGGCTTCACTGGCTTCTATCAGATAAGAATGCAGAGATTACACATTCAGTTGCTGAGTTTTGTGCATCGATTCTTAGATTGCGGGAGTCGCATTTTAAAAGTTTTGAAATTTAGATTTTTACTCTGCATATTATCTCTGGGGTTTTTTTCCTTTCTTTCTCATATTATGTTTATATGGTATGCTGGTCTTAAGACTGTAATAATAAAACTAAACTAAACCCACATCCTGAAAAATCGTGTTGGTCTCGAAGGGGCTACTTGACTGGAACGCAGCTGTTCTACTGGAGAACCAAAACTAGGTAACAACAATATATCCTGTGGTTGTAATAGCACTATGACAACAATTTAAAAGAACAATCACAACATATATTTCTAATGGATTAAATAATCAAAATATTACAGTAGAATTTGAACAGAAGTTTTGTCCCACATATTGTTTTAGAATTATGAAATCTGCTTAGAAGGTTTCCCCCTTCAAAACGTGAAAATTATCTAGAGAACACGTCAGCATTTAAAAAGGGAAGATTCCTATTTATTATTAAAGGACTCCAATACTTAATTTGCATGTATATATAAAAAATATTAGAAGGAAAACCATTTTTTTTTTTTGCTTTTGAGAACATTATATGTGGGACAAAACTTCTGTTCAAATTCTGTTCACATTCTACTGTAATATTTTGATTGTTTAATCCATTAGAATTATATGTTGTGTTTGTTCTTTTAAACTGTTGTCATAGTGCTATTACAACCACAGGATATATTGTTATTACCTATGGCCAAACCAACATGGCTACCCCCTGAAACTGTTCTTCCTCTATTTCCATTTCCTCTTCCTCCACAGCTAGGAATATAATTCCCAGACCTGCCTCCCATTCCTGGTGTTTCCACCAGATCTCTTCTTTCGCCACAGATATAAGGACCCAAGTGCTGTTTCCAGGGGTCATTTTGTAGAAAAAGTAGTGCAGGAGTTCATTAGCATATCTCATTGGCATAATTTATTTGCATATGCCACACCCCCTGACATCACCGGAAGTGTGTCAGAAGGCAACACCCACCACTCAGGCTCCACTGGACTGTTTTGGATTGCCAGTTATCGGGGGGGACGGGGGACGTGCAGCTCTGTCCTCGCAGAGGAGGGAGAGCTTGTACCTGAATAAAACTTGGTTTTAAAGGTGCCACTGGGCTGTTTTGCACTGGGGGGCCGGGGGGGCAAGCTCTGCAACTTACCTGGCTGTTTCTTGCTCTGACTGAGGGCTGCTGGGAGTAGGGGGTGGGGCTTGTTGCATGTACCCACCCCCTGGACTCTTTACTGCCGGTGCGCCACTCCCGTGCGCTCCTGCAGGAAATGACCCCTGGCTTTTTCCTTCCAATGTTTTGCGCCTCTCTCTTGCACCTCTTAAAGGTACCACTGGATTGTTTTGGATTGCTAGATATGGGGGGGGGGACGCGCAGATCTGCCCTCACAGAGGAGGGGGTGGGGCTTGTTGCATGTGCCCACCCCCTGGACTCTTTACTACCGGTGCTCCGACTGAGGGCTGCTGGGAGCAGGGGGTGGGGCTTGTTGCATGTTTTCGAATGCCTCTCTTAGCCGCGGCACAATCTGATCTCTGCTCCCTCCGCTGCCCTAGAACGGACCTCACTGAAACGACCTCTCCGGCCTTGCTCCTCTCCGCTGTCCTTGTCATCGCTGACCACCCTCTCCTCCTTGACTCCCTCCAGCGGTCCCAAACCCATTCCCCACAGCCTTTCACAAAGAGAAAAAAACCCATTTCATTGGCCAGGCCCAGCTCACCTTGCTGTGCTTGGGTTTCCTCCCGGATTTTTTCTGCTCTGCAAAAGGAAACAGCAAGAGAGAGAGGGAGAGAGAAAGGAAGAAAATGCATCTTGTTGCACATCTGGAATTAAAGCTGGAATTCTTGCCAAATCGAAAGTAGCACTTGCACCGCAAACAGGGACTTACTGTGCCGTGTCATGGCGTCAGAGCAGAAAGAGGCAAAGCTGGGTTTCTCTGTCTAATACTGGATTCGACCGTGACTGGAGGATCCTCTACGTTACTCCTCTTCCTGTTTAACAGTTCCTGGGAAACAAAGAAAAGGCGTCGTCCCCATTTCAAAATCAGAGGTCCGAATGTGGTGGTAGAAAGTGCCGTCAAATTGCAGTCGACTTACAGCAACCCCCTAGAGCAGGGGTGGCCAAACTGTGGCTCGGGAGCAGGGGTCGTTTTGTAGAAAAAGAGGTGCAGGAGATCATTAGCATAACTCATTCGCATAACTCGTTTGCATATGCCACACCCCCTGACATCACCGGAAGTGTGTCAGAAGGCGACACCCACCGCTCAGGCTCCACTGGACTGTTTTGGATTGCTAGCTATTGGGGGGGGGGAGTGCAGATCTGTCCTAACAGAGGATCTTTGTGACCCCATGGACCAGATCACGCCAGGCCTTCCTGTCTTCAGCTCTTTCTGGAGAAGAGAATCCCATAATCTAGGGTTGGCATCCAAGAACTCCGCAAGTCCCTGCCAAATGAGCATCTGACATAAACTTCCTGCAGCAAGCCCCAGTCCCTGATGATTTTAGGCCATTCATCCCACCAACCCCAGTCCCTGCTTCCTCCTGTTACGTCCCCCCCCCCTTCTGCCCCTTTCCTTTCCTGCACCCTTGCTTGGCTGCATTACTGCCTCCTCCCTTCCTTGCTGCTTTGCTCACCCACCCACATTGCTGTTGCTTCCTCTCTGTGCTACTGCCTCCCTTGTCTGCCTACGGGCCTGGCTCACTAACCTTTGCCACCAATTTCTTTCCCCACTGCCTTATTCACCTACTTGGCAGCACTACCACCACCTCCCCCTGTTTATGGGGTTGCTAGACAATCCTGGAAATAGAGGCCAAGATCTCACAACCTAGCACTGTAATATTTCATTCCCCAATAAGTTTGTGTCTGGGTGACTTTTCAAAGTCCCTCAGCTTATTTTCCCTTCAGATTTCTCTGCCAACTTGGGAGCTGTCCCAGGTCTATAGAAAAGCCCATTTTCTCTTTACATGGCCCTATTGTGTGGATGGCCCTGCGTTTTGGGTCCCTTGTTCAAAATTAGATACAGTGATTAAAATTATCAGTGCTAAAACAAAACACAACCATCAGCAAATTAAAAGCCACAAGAGATTTGATTAAGCCACTTAAACACCATTAAAAGACGGGCAACTAACCCAACTCTTGTAGTCACCAAGGGAATTGATAAAGGTATATGGAGTCCCACATATGAGGTGCCAGCATGAAGAAGCCATTATCACTACTAGCAACCATTGTTCCCTCTAAGATGAGTTAGTGTGAGCTAGCCCACAATTTTTTAGCTTCCGACTCACATTTTTTTTTGTCTTAGCTCAGGAAGGATGGTTCCAGAGTGTGACACAGAGTGTTGGACTGGAGGGGCCACTGGCCTGATCCAACACTGGCTTCTCTTATGTTCTTATAAGAGGGAATCAGATAAGCATACGGAGCAAGCAGAGGTCCATTAGCGGCTATTAGCCACAAGGTCTAGATAGGGGCTCTGGGGCAAGTGATGCTCTGTCTTCTTGGTGCTGGGGGGGGTTCAACAGTGGAAGGGCTTCTAATGTCCTGGTCCCACTAGTGGACCTCCTGATGGCACCTGGTATTTTTGGCCACTGTGTGACACAGAGTGTTGGACTGGAGGGGCCACTGGCCTGATCCAACACTGGCTTCTCTTATGTTCTTATAAGAGGGAATCAGATAAGCATACGGAGCAAGCAGAGGTCCATTAGCGGCTATTAGCCACAAGGTATAGATAGGGGCTCTGGGGCAAGTGATGCTCTGTCTTCTTGGTGCTTGGGGGGGTCAACAGTGGAAGGGCTTCTAATGTCCTGGCCCCACTGCTGGAACTCCTGATGGCACCTGGTATTTTTGGCCACTGTCACAGAATGTTGGACTGGATGGGCCATTGGCCTGATCCAACATTGGCTTCTCTTATGTTCTTATAAATATTTCTGTTGGACTAAGAGCATTTTACCCTGGCCTGGATGGCGCAGGCTAGCCTGATCCTATCAGCTCTCAGAAGATAAGTGGGGTCAACCTTGATTAGTACTTGGATGGGAGACCACCAAGGAAGTTCGTGGTGGTGCTTCTTCTTCCTCTTCTTCTGCAACGGCAAACCACCTCTGTTTGTCTCTGCTCTGTTTGTCTTAGTCTGAGGGCTTATCCGATCTGAAGAAGACGAGGAAGAGGAAAAAGAAGAAGAGGAGGAGGAGATTGGATTTATACCCCGCCCTTCACTCAGAGTCTCAGAGTGGCTCACAGACTCCTTTCCCTTCCCCTCCCCACAACAGACACCCTGTGAGGTAGGCGGGGCTGAGAGAGCTCTCTCCAGAACTGTCCTTGAGAGAACAGCTCTTGACAGAACCATGGCTTGCCCAAGGTCATCCAGCAGCTGTGAGTGGAGAAGTGGGGAATCAAACCCGGCTCTCCCAGATTAGAGTCCGTGCACTTAACCACTGCACCAAACTGGCAGTGTCAGCCAGACGAGCCAAATCTCATCAGCTCTGGGAAGCTAAGCAGGGCTAAGCCCTAGTTAGTACCTGGGTGGGAGATCACCGAGGTTTGCTGCTACACAGAGGCGGGCAATGGCAAAATGGCTGTCTGTCAAAGGAAGCGCTACATGTCACTGGCCCTCTGGCTGACGCCCACAAGGAAACCTGGGTAGGGCTTGAATTGGCAGCCTGCATAGCCCAGCTGAGCCTGATATTAGATCGTGGTAGCCAAGCAGGGTCGACCCTAGCGAGTGCTCGGACGGGGGACCACCAAGGAAATACCGGATTGGTACAGAGAAAGCAGGCGATGGAAGGCCACCTCTGTTTGTCTCTGCCCTGTCCAGGACGCCTCAGGCTAGCCAGATCTTGTTAGATCTGGGAAGCTGAGCAGGATGGACCTCGGTTAGTACTTGGGTGAGAGACCACCAAGGAAGTCCAGGGTTGCTACCAACGCTCCCTCTAAGGTGTGGAGTCTTGTGAGCAAAAATTCTACTTGGTGAGCTAACAGGCATTCAAGTTGCGAGCGAGTGATTTGGCTACGGCATGAATTAAGTCTGCTCTGGAGCCCTCCCTTCCTGAGCTAAGACAAAAAGGTGTGAGTTGAAGGCTAAAGACTGAGCTAGCTCACACCAACTCAGCTTAGAGGGAACACTGGTTGCTACACAGAGGGTGCGGTCAGACGGCGTGCTGGGAGCGGTTTAAATTGCTCCGGCCCTGATGCGGTTTTTTATAACCTGGAGAATTGCGACCACACTCACCTCCCTGCTCCAGATCGCTGCGCAGCCACATTGCTCCTTGCCGTCCACACGCGGGAGCGTGTGTCGGTGTTGTTTTTCTCTCTCTTTCTGAGTTTGGGCATGCGCGCAGGCAGCCATCTGTAGAACTAACATTTCCGCGCGTGTGCAGAACAGCGATTTCCACTTCAACCCGACTGCTGCAACACTTCCCTTTAAACTTTAAAGGAACCCTTCCCTTTAAACGTTAAAGGAACACTTCCCTTTAAATGTTTACCCCGAAAATGGCCTCCATGAGATCCTGAACTCATCTAAACGCTAAAACTAGGCACCGTTTAAACATTGTTTTTAGTAATGCGGCGGCGGACCTCCGCCTATGCGCACACTGCCAACGCTTTAAAAAAATGGCGTTATATGTCGGTTTTCTAAACACGGTAGTGGAGTTCCGCCTATGTGCACACCGCCAATGCTTTAAAAAAATGGCAGGTGAAAAGCGGAAGCTTCGGGCAGCTTTCGAGCGGGGAGGGGGGTTAAACCGGAAGTGGCTCGACACCAGAGGAGCGATCACACAGGAGGGAAATGCGGCTGGAACCAGAGAATCAGGAAAACTCCACTTGGGGACCTGGTATCAAAATACTCCGAGTTAAAGCAGTTTTGAGCCGGAAAGAGACAGCTGAGGATGGGAGGCAGATGTTGACTGTGTGATCGCGCAGATAAAACCCGTTTCTGAACTGGCACGACACCGGATCAAATGGCGCATCTGACCGCACCCAGAGGCAGGCAAGGGCAGACTACCTCTGTTGATGTCTTGCCTTGAAAACCCCATGGAGAGGTCATTGTTAGATGGCTGTGACTTGAGTAATAATACTAAGCAAAAGGAGGAGGAGGAGGCTTGGATTAGGTCCTCCTGAGAGCCCAAAGTGTGCAAAGGTCTTAAAACTATAGGCGCATCTTTAACCAAAAGTACAAAAAACGTTTTAGCTTTGATATCCACATGGAAAACAGGTGACTGGCAGTGCAGTCCAAAACAGACCTACAGCCACAGAGCTCCACATGGTGAATCAATCACGGACAGCTTACTTGACAAGCTAACGGAATTCAATACCCAGCAAGCAGAAAAGAAACTTCAGTCGTCATGTCATAGGGATG